GGGGGGGGGGGGGGGGGGGGGGGGGTCCGACAGCATTTTGCGAAGGTGTAGGTATGTTTAGCGGGGTGATCCCACAAGTCGGGGAAGTGCATGGGCAGGCAAACGGTTACTGCAGGGGCACGGCGACATATAACGACCCCAATTATATAGAAGTAATGTACCTTTAAAAGCATCACAGAGAACAGAGCTTAGAAAAACATCCCCCCCAAAAAACGCTTCGCGATGGGCTCACCTGGGGGTGCTGGATGGAAAGTCCCTGCATCGCTACGTTGTTGGCGTTCACCTCGTCCTGAAACAGCCGAGAAAAAGGCACCGCATCAGCTCAGCTGACACAGAAGGGGCATCAACGTCAACACAGTAGCCCCGCCCTCGTCCGCCTACAAAGCCGGGGGCCGCAGAAAAAAACAGCTTCTGTGAGCTAACTGCCTTATTGACACGTATCGACCCCGGTGAGCCTCCTTCACGCCCAGTGACAGGTGTGAAAAAGACTCCGCTGCGAGGTCAGAGGGCTTCTAGAAGAATGCAACAGGGGATTTCCATCCAGCGAAGCCTCTGGCATCACTCTGCTACACATGTGAACTCCGACAGCCATCCGGGCAAGACGCAAATTACCCGGAAGGTAAAAACACTGGTGCAAAAAAAAACCCATTACCCCTAACGCAATGCGTAATTACAAATAATAATTACCCACAACAGCTACTGCTGACGCGTGACTGCCATTCGCTTCTGCGGTTTTCCTGAATGGACCAAATTCATTACAGCATCAGCGGTTTAACACAGAGGGAGCACTTACATCTTTTCTGTCGTCTCTCAGCCTCCGGGACTGAAATGGCAAATAAACAAAGCGATTAGGTCCGGCCTGTGGAATGATACCCAACAGACTGAGAGTCACATAAAATCTCAAAGAAACACAGAAAGCAGGCCTGACTTCCTCATCAGGAAATCTAATATCATTCCATTAAATTTTTATTCTGCACTGACTCATAATGATGTAAGAACTGCAGTACAGTGCATATTCACATCAGCCTCTGTGCAGACATGCCGACTTTGTCCTGGTTTAAACTTGTCTCTAACTGGTTTCCATTTGTGTTCCTCTGTTCTTAAACCAGTTTTCAGATAAAAGTCAGCTGACTTATCACCCCCCTTCCCCCAGGCCAGAAAAAGAGGCTTCATGTTCCTGTCTTTCTGTCCTCTATTGCAAACATGTTCCGTCCTTTTTACAAACAGTAATCAGGATACAGTGAAGGCTAAGCGAGTGACGCCGACATCATCGAAAGTCAGGGTATTCATGTGTCCCAGCTCAAGGCTGATTCTCTCCTTCACTTCACCCCCAAAGCCGCAACCCACCGCCGCCTCACACTCCTCAGACTCACCCTGCCCTGGTTCACCGCCGCCTCACACTCCTCAGACTCACCCTGCCCTGGTTCACCCCCACCTCACACTCCTCAGACCCACCCTGCCCTGGTTCACCCCCGCCTCACACTCCTCAGACCCACCCTGCCCTGGTTCACTGCCGGCTCACACTCCTCAGACCCACCCTGCCCTGATTCACCCCCGCCTCACACTCCTCAGACCCACCCTGCCCTGGTTCACCCCCGCCTCACACTCCTCAGACCCACCCTGCCCTGGTTCACTGCCGCCTCACACTCCTCAGACCCACCCTGCCCTGGTTCACTGCCGCCTCACAATCCTCAGACCCACCCTGCACTGGTTCACCCCCCCCTCACACTCCTCAGACCCACCCTGCCCTGCTTCACTGCCGCCTCACACTCCTCAGACCCACCCTGCCCTGGTTCACCCCCACCTCACACTATTCAGACCCACCCTGCCCTGGTTCACCGCCGCCTTGCCCTCTTCGCTGCGCTCGTCCAGCTCATCATCGCTCCACTCCCAGTCTCCATCTTCTGTCTTGTGCAGGTGCCCGCTCGAACCCGGCACCCTCCGCACCTGAGGATAAGGGGGTGTAATATAATGACAGCAACACTAGAAATAAAAGCTGCTTAAAAATACTTGTATATACCATGATATACTTATTCATAAATGCACCCCTAAATCAAGCTATCCAGTATATCGCCCCTACCCCCCCACCCCCCAGACCCGTTGGCACTCTGTGGATTCTCATTAAAAAACATGGTCTGCACAGATACTTTTAGTACAATTAAGTCACGTGCACATACTCATGGACAAAAATAGCCCCATCATCTCCCACAAAACATGCATTATATACACGCATGATAATCATGCATTAATTCCACGGGGACGGATCGACTGCGGCGTAATAGATGAGATGTCTACATGTCTTTTTTTCTTTTTTTTTACTCTGCACCATCCAATAATCAGCCATTCAGAAATACCATGCGCACATGTTAATAAGGACGCGTTTCGGCAATCAGCGGCTAGGTCTACAAAATAAAACAAAATACGATTTAAAAAAAAAAAAAAAAAAAAAACTGTAAACCGCGGCGCCTTCGGTTTGCACCTTTTATCTCTATGCGCAGCATAATCAAAATGGAAGCTTGTGCTCAGTGGCATAAAAAATAATTTGCCTGATCTATGCCGTTTCCCTTACCTTTCAATCACATAAAAATTGAGCCACTACAGCAGCCCACATTCAGCGGTGTCAGCCACTTGGAATATCATTATCTTTGATCACTTACTCTGGTGGATGTAATAATGAACTATTTCTAATAGGACCACAATACAGGGGCTATTGCGACCTCTGCTGGCCAGAGGGAAAATGACATCCACTAAAGGTATCTGGATGAGGCCGATAATCCCGAGTCTTTTTTATGGATTGTAAATCACATGCATACGTTTTACAGAGTCAAGCTGCCATGTTCCCGCTGTCTGTGCATGACTAATGTCGCAGAGGATCCAGAGGGACCCTCTCAATGTTTCATTCCCACATCATGGCCTGCTAGTCTCCCACACCACTCCAGAGAATAAAGCCACAGCGAGACACTTTCATTAAAATCAGTCAGGAGGGGGGCTTTGGCAGGGGGGCTGAGTGTAGCTGTAAGGTGGCTACAGGGAGAGAGGTGACAGCTGAATTGGAGAAGGCGGAGGGGGGCTTGGCATCTGGAAGCTCCACATATGAATCAACGTCACACTGACGATATATGACCCCCCCCCCCCCCAGAGTTGGAGAATCTGCAGAGTGAAAGGCTGCAGATTGAATTCTGCGTTTCGAATAGCCATCACGTCAACCTCCGCCAGCCAAAACGTGATTAACTCCCATCTCTAAAGGTCAAGGTGGGTTGGATCAGGAAGGTCACCCTGAGCTGTGCTGCTATCCCGCCCGCATGCTAACGAAACATCACAGGACCAGATCCTTACACATGTATGGCAGCTCACCAATATCTCACAAAATATCATTAATGACTCAAAACACCATTAAGATCTCAAATGTCATCACTCCTACTAGACGTGATGATTCTGCTTGACGTGCCCAAATCCTGACAAAGTGAACAAGTGAGATCATACTATCTGGTTACTGAACATCTTTAATGACTTAAAAATTATAGCACCTTATTATTATTATAGTTATTATTATTATTATTATTAAAAGTGCTTATATAGTTATGAAAGACAAAGGCAAATTGGCAGAAATATAATTATTTCAATTCTGGGTTTGACTCTTTAGTGTTATTTTAAAAAATCTTGGAAAGAGGGCACAAACAAGCTCAGAAATGTCATGTTTTTGATTTGGACGTATCTCTGCTGCAAGCACATCAGACTGCATTAGACTCGGGACCAGCAGTCTTAGATTATCATGCAAATGAAACCAGCATGCTACAGCTACAGCATGCTACAGCTACAACATGCTACAGCTACAGCATGCCACAGCTACAGCATGCCACAGCTACAGCATGCTACAGCTACAACATGCTACAGCTACAGCATGCTACAGCTACAACATGCTACAGCTACAACATGCTACAGCTACAGCATGCTACAGCTACANGCTACAGCATGCTACAGCTACAACATGCTACAGCTACAACATGCTACAGCTACAGCATGCTACAGCTACAACATGCTACAGCTACAACATGCTACTGCTTTCCTGAAGCATCTGCCGAATCTGTCCCTTATCTTGTGTAGCTGTCCGTTATCTTGTGTAGGTTCTGGATGTCACACAACGAGACGAGTCGCTGTGGGCATCGCCGTAACGACAAGGGGCGGGCTTGAGTTTGGCTGCAGCTGGTTCCTAAGCTGCTGCCGCTACCTCTCCACCTGCGAGAGGTCTACAGGGCCGGGAGGGATGCCGAGAGGCCGGAATATGCAGGCTAAGCACCGCCCCGAACACTAAGCTCTCGGGAGCCAAAGTCACTAAACAATTAGCCGCAGGTCGCTCAATAAGGCTTCGGAAGCAATATTTCGTCAGGAAGCATTACCCTCTTGGCCCTCTGGGTGATGTTCGGCGCTTTCTGTAGCAGTTTCTCGATCAGATATTCTCTGTTCTGCAAAAGGGAAAATGAGGAATGGCTGTGTGAGGATGGTGGCACAGGAACGATCAACGGAACCAGACTGGCGATCGAAACTTTTAACCAAGCTTTCCACACGGTACTTCAGCACCACCGGCAATAGGACAAATTAAAACCAATCAATAAATTAACAAAGCGTACCTTAGCCTTCTGGAAAAATTTACACTTCAAGAGCTCTGCTGCTGTAGGCCTAAAGAAAAACACGTAGAGAAATGAAGACATATCCCAGTCGAAGGGTAGATGATGGATGGCTGTACTCGATGGCTGTCTTCTGGTTTTACGGGCTTCTCCAAAGCCCAGATCAGGCCAAAAATCATCAAAGTCTATAAGACCCACGGCTGGGGCTAAGGGTTGATAGTTTTGACAGAATCAACCGAGTTGCTGTGCATTGATTCATATGACCCTGGGCATCAACAAAAAGACAACAAAGAAATTCCTGCGTTGTGCTGGCAGAAGCCCCTCAAGAGTTCCTGTCAGGACAAGTCTGAAGTTGGCATCTATGCAAGCGTCCGCTGAACCCCCCGGAAACTTGACTTGAGCAGTTTAGCCGGATTAACTTTGGAAAGGAAATAATCTGAAAATAATGGGTGAGCTGTCGAAATGATTACTGTAAGGCTCTGCTCTTAACAGCACCAGTCAACAGACTAACTGATCCATTTTGAAGAAACAGTCAGTCAGATGATGGGAGTGTCTCTTTCGGAGCTTGCATCTGCATGACCTGCTCGAGGGTGTGTGTGATTACAGGTGAGATGTGAGGAAAGAGTTGGAATGGAACTGCAGACAGGTTTAACCAAAATGATGGAAAGGACCAAAAAGCAAATGACTGATGTTTGGCTTCAGTGCAAGGGGAAACACCAAGGACCAGAATGAGAATCTGGGGTGTTCAGGGTGGTGAATTAGAACCCTGTGCCTGTGATTGGAAAGTTGCTGATTCAAATCCCCGGGTCAGCAGAGTGATGTCACCACTGGGTGATGGAGCAAGGTCCTCAACCCCAGTGAGTCCAGGGACTATATGACTGTTTTCTCAAAATCTCAAAATGTATGTTGCTTTAGCTAGAAACATATGCTGTATAAGTGAAATGTCTACTACAGCATGCAGCATGAAGTGTGTGTGTGTGTGTGTGTGTGTGTCTGAGAGAAAAAACAGGAAGGATATTATCGTTCACAAGTGAAGCGACTGAACTCGCATGTAACCTGACACCCTCCCTTACCCAGGAAGTCCATGCCCCCCCTCCCAATACCCAGCCTCTTACCGTTGCTGTCAGCTTTCCTGCATGCAACTGCCTGACATCGCTCTTCAGCCATGAAAGGAAACCCATTAGCCAAACAATCTTGGGGGGCGGGGGGCACAAACCTTTTAGTGGGGTCCTTCTGCAGGCACAGAGCTATCAGTTTCCTGAAGGACTTGCCATACTTTTTCACCATCTCCTTGTCTTCCACACCTGTCTCCAGCATGGGGGGGTCGTTCTGTAATGTCAGCATGAGGACCTGGAAGGTAAATAGGAGAAAGGGGTGAAACGAGCAGCTGCTTCCACCCCCACACCTACCCCCCCTCCCCAGCTCCACTCCCACACACCTTCATGGGGGGGTACTTGTGATATGGCGCAGAGCCGGTCGCCAGCTCAATAGCCGTGATCCCAAAACTCCAGATGTCCGCCTTAAAGTCGTAGCCTCGTACCTGAAGGGACACCAACAGGGGCTTCAGGGGCACAGAACCATTGCAACGACGGTATCTTCTCAACGGGGGGGCTGTCGAGTTCTCACCTGCTCCATCACCTCCGGCGCCATCCAGCAGGGTGTCCCTACAAACGTCTTCCGGACCTTGTTCCGGGTGACATCTCCGCCCGTGGCCAGGAATGCGCTAACTCCGAAATCTGAGAAAGCGTTCGCAGCAGAGAAATCGAAAATTACAGCAAGGAGATCCCAACCAGGCTCGTCTGAACAAAGACCTTCAGCCTGTGGCTATGTTTCCCAGGTTCACCCAGGTGTTCCGTCCTTGGTTCTGTGGCACCTTCGAGAGTGATTGTTCCCAGCGGTGTCTGCCTTTCTTGATACCGCGACATGTCATTTGGCAGGAAAAAGGACAGACTTCGCTGCACAGACCCCAATCCTCGATGGGATGGCTAAAATATGTCCACGAGCGAGATTGAGCGGCTCAGCAAAGCTCTGCCCCCCAGGCCTGGCGAGTGTCTGAGGAACAGCCTGAAAACTGCTGTCAATAAACTCAATGCAGCCTAAGACAGCATGAAGAAACCTGCCCAGAAGCACTCCGGAACGTTCTGAGGCTGACAGAGACTTAATCAAGAAGACGTGAAGCTCCTCCAGCCTCCAGAAGAACCGAAAGTCAGGCTCTCGATCTTTATGTCATCAATTCCTTTCTGCTTTACTTCCCAGTACATGCCAGGAAAATAAAAAATTTAAAATAAAATATTCAATGCACAATTTTGTACCTTCTCAGAAAGGCATGCCATATTGGTAAATCTGGATAATTCTGCAAGGCAATATAAATGTTACAGTACAGAACTCTACTTTCACCCAAGTAATTACAAAAAGTCAAAATGCTACATGTTTGTTTTGGCTCTTGTTAACATTGCAAAGTTTAATGAAATAGTTATGCCACCTTCTTTTAAGCATCTCACTCATTCAGTTCATATTATGCATGATAAACTACGAGAGGTTAAGATACAGCATATTTATCATGCAAATATGTTTAAAATTTCTGGCTAGGACCCTAAAGGTTTTCATACCTCTTTATAACATATGTTTTGTCATTTCTTTTGTTTAGAAAAAAAAAGACAGAATCTCAGTCACAATGCTGTTAGGATGCATTAGTAAACAAAACTGTTCTGTGAATATCAGGGAAACTAACCCCAAAAATATCATGGTTATCATTTATTTGTTCAGCAGACACTTTTCTCCAAAGCAGCATACAAATGACTGTCGGTCCCTGTAGCTATCGTGGTGTTAAAGGCCCAATGATGAAACCACGCTGCTGACAATAGGATTTGAACCAGGAACCTTCCAACCTCAGGCACAGTGTCCTAACATGTTGAGTCACACACTACCCCCCCCCCCCCTGCAGTGGGTGAGCAATGTGCTTGCAGGGACGTTCGTTAAGAGCATCTGTAAAGTGTGTCTGTTAGCGGTGTTCGCTGGGCCTGAACCATGAGTCGTAACTCGCTCAAAGCCCTCATAAAAGGGAAGAGAAAACTGATGTGTTTTCAGAAAATGAAAATTTTGAAACAGACATAAACCACTTTTTGGAAGATGCTCACATGCACAACTTTCGGAGTGCTCTGCAGCAAGTTACTGGGATTTAGATTAGATTAGATTAGATTAGATTAGATTAGATTCAACTTTATTGTCATTACACATGTACAAGTACAAGGCAACGAAACCCCAAGAATATTACAAGAATATTTGGAATAAAATCCCACTGCCTAGGGCAGGGTTTCCCAACCCGGTCTTCAGGGACCCCCAGACTGTCCACATTTTTGCTCCCTTACAGCTCCTGGTAGCAAAAACATGGACCCTGAAGGCAGGGTAGGGAAACACTGGCTTAGGGTTAAGTGACACCAGCCGCCATACTGGGCAGGTCAGCAATGGGTCATAGTGCATTTGGAGCCCCCTAGAGTAAAGAGGAGGAATGGTAGGGGTCGGATGCCAGCAGCAGCCGTAGAGTACAGAACAGAAAGGGCAAGTGTGAAATGGCTCCTTGCCCCCCCCCTTACCTGCTATCTGGACAGAGCCGTCTTCCCCCAGCAGAATGTTCCCAGCTTTCACGTCCCTATGACCATTTTCATGACACACACACACACACACATACACACACATAGGTTATGCAGAGTCTCCAGCCCACTTTGGAGTGCTGTCATCGATTCCTGTTGTAGCTGCTCATTGAGTTAGATGGCTATTGTTAGCAGCACAGAGCCTTGGGGGTGGGGGGGGGGGGGGGGGGCTGGCACTGTATGCCCTTGACAGCAGCAGAGAGCTGGTAGACAGTGGGTAAAGTCAAACACAGTACAGTGAGGAAATAATACAACTCAATTCAGCACCTATTCAATTACATTTCATCATAATAACTTAATAGTAATAATAACAACGTTACACATTTTTGAACTGTGAACCGAAGAATTAATGTTAACATTTGTGCTGAAAGTCTGTACATGTGTTATTCAGTGAATGGTATGAAGCTTACATAATGTCATAGTTAGCATACTAGTCTGTTTACATTATAATGGCTGTTTCCTTACACTAAAAACATGCCACTGCGAGCAAATTGTTAGTAGGTCAATTCAGTTTTATAGTAAATTATAGTAAATTAAATTAAGCATGGACCTTGAAAGCAATGTTAAACGATGGAAAGTGTGGTTTACCTGTGGATCTGTCCGTTCCTGTGCAGGTAGTCTAAGCCCTCTAGCACCTCCTTTAAGATGGTGGCGATGATGGATTCTTCCAGAACGCCGTTCTTATGCTCCCCTCGGCTGAACGTGTGTTTTATCATGTCCAGCATGGACCCTGTGTGAAATGGCCACAGACAGGAAGGCATAAGACACACCAAGGACTGAACGCCAATCTACAACAAAGAAAATCCATTCCTTCTTGTTTCCCTCAGGATGGTGTGTGGTTGAGCAGGTTAGGCAGTGTTGGCTGTGATCAGAAGGCCACCGGTTCATATCCCAGGCCTGGTTAAGTGATTTCACCATTAGGTCCTTGATCAAGGCCCTTAACGCTAGTTGCTCTAGGGACTGGCATGTTGCTATGGATAAAAGTGTCAGCTAAATAATTGCAAATGTGCTAAAATAAAACCTCCAAAAATAAAATAAAAGCTCTCCATAAACATCAGACACGCATCTAAAAAGTACTACTACGGTGTATAAATGTTTTATTGCAATAACTCGCTTGAGAAGAGAAAAATGAAGCATAGCTTCCCAGCATGCAAAGTAGACACAATAGAAAAAAAACTTACCTCCACTTAACAGCTTCATTACTAGCCAAAGTTCATCCTTCACCACAAAGGAAGTGTAATATGTTACCACATTGGGGTGGCTGCATTGACTCATTGCCTGAATCTCTTTCTGTTTAAAGAGACAAAGATTGTTTTAAAAGTTTTTTTTATTTTTTCAACTGTTCACACTATTAGTTACAGGCAATTTGCTATTAATACAAATAATAATATAGTGTAATTATTTTCTTGGGTTTATATCAGGCAGTTGTGAGACGGTGAGGATTTCACACAGCCCACTTGTTTCTTCATTTGAATTGGAAACGTGTGGGGTCTCCCACACAGACTGTGGTTGTGACTGGGGAATGTGGTTTCTTCTGATAAGTTACTAGAGTTAATGAGCCTCAGGGACTCGGGTTAGCACAGGCAAACCAAGCAGACTCCTGGGGAGCGATGCTCACCAGCAGCTCGTCCATACTGGTCTGGCACTTCTCCAGATTTATCCGCTTTATGGCCACCCTCTCCTGCCGGGGCTTGCACAGAGCTGCCTGAACAACGGCTGTGGCTCCACTGCCTGCAACCACAGCCAACAAGCAGTGTTTTAAAACAGGCAGCACCACAGACAACTTTAATATTAATGCTCACTATCATTCACCATCAGACCATTGTGCAGGACCCTGGGTTCTGGCTAACATGCTCCTGGGAGTTTTACTTACACAAAAATGTTCTGAGGGCAGAATGAGAAATGACTGGCTCAGAGAGTTAACCAGTGAGATTGTAGACGAGGTGGATCCAAACAACTTGAGGAGACGGGACCAACCAATCAGATGTCGTGCTCCCACCTCCTCTAGTTGCTTGGACCCACCTCCTCTGCAATTTCATTGGTTGTCTCCTTGAACCAATCATTGTTCATTCTGCCCTCAGAACATTTTTGTGTAAGTCAAACTCCAGGAAACGGCTAACATGCAGGTACTTCGTGACTCCTTACAGAGGAGCTGTAACAGTGAAACAGTGAAAGAAACCATGCAGATTTTAGACTGAATGTGGCAGCAGTAGAAACAGGAACTGACCTATACAAAGCATATTGGGGTACTGGAGTACAGACTCATATAATCCTGTGAAATACTAGAATTCTTAGTGCGTTGCTAAAAAACATGTTAACTGCTATGGACAGATAAGAAGAAAGGCGACACACCGCAAACAAGACGGCTAACCCATATCATTGCTGATATGGCGTATTTTACTGTCAACTTGGCTAGTTACAATGTACACCCCTAACACATCTCTGGGAATAATTTTTTCATAGCTGCACATTTATATAGAAAATGCATTAAGGTAGCCAGAACATATTGTTCTAAATATACTATATTCATACATTTAAATTATGTTTAAATAACATATTTTCAACTTTTTTTGGAGGGATAGGCAGGTGAAGATTGTCGCGTAACAGCGCCAGTACGACTGACAGAAATGCAAAGCGGGCGTTCACCAGCAGGGGAAGTAATGAGCATCGCTGCAAGGCAACTTCATAAGAGGACACTGTGAAACAAGTGGACACATAATAGCATAGAGCACAAAAGCCACGTCCCTGTCCGTGACAGTGCCTAAGACCTACGAGATTGCTTAATACCCGTGGGCATAAGCATATACATCATTTCCGCCAGACACTTCCTTGCAGCCGTCACTAATCATGACAATATTACTGCGCTAGTGACAGATCAGGGTAATCTGACCACGCTCGGAAGATGTGAACCGATCTACCCGATTTAAATTATCTATATTATAAATGTCATAATGCCAGCATTTTCTTTCCTCCTCTCGGTTCACCGATATCGTTTTTCTAAAATAAATGCAAAATGTTGCACGTTACAGTGACCGTTATTTTAAAAAAATCATCGCTATTTTAACTGTGGCGTTAAGTTAATTATAGCGACGCGCGGAGCGTGGAAAGCGAAATTATTGTCAAAAATCTGCAATAAGAATCATACAGTAATAACAGGGGGGTCTGTGAACTTCACCGTGAACTGGCAGTTTCCACAAGCGCCGTGCTGCGAATTAGCAGCGTCCTAAAGCCGGTATACCGTTATAAAGGTACCGGCTTCTCTGGCCCGGTCGGACACGCTCCCCCTGGGCCGATCCAAATTTCAGCAAATGAATTTTCTGCTCCCATGCAGCTTCCACGTGCCTTTGAGGTGATATTATTCCGCAAAAATCCCCCCCTTTTCATTACACTACCCCCCCCCCCCCCCCCCCAAAAAAAAAAGAACATATTTTCCCCGAGTGACAATCTGATTCCTTCGCATTTCTACACTAATGCCTGCACTTTTTATACAATGGTACGCCATAAGATGGCATAAGCTCAGAAGCTACGCGAAATACTGCGGTTGCAAACATCCGCATTGCTAAGCTGTACATGACAGAGGACATGCATCGGAAAAAAGCCGGTAGGCCCCCGCTTCCCTATAAGCACTGCCGGTGGCACCGATTAAAAACGGCGCAAGCGGCGATCAGACGGTTTGACACTCACCGATGACTTCCTGCAGCTCGTAGGACTCTCGGGTAATTGGCCAGGTCGCCGCCGGCACCGGTTGCGGACTCTGGGTATGAACCGGAGGCTCGATGTGCTCCGCCATGATGCTGCCGCTCAGCTTCTTAAGCGACCTCAGTCTGTACAGTTTCCTCTCACCTCCCGGACTGCGTGTAGTGTCGGGGCTGTAAGGGATCACTACCGCCCGCGATGAAAACATCCGGAAAACAGCGGGGCACGGGTACAACACACGCAATTTCTGTCATATATTGCATTCTCTTACTAAAACGTTTTAGATCATATGACAAGTAACATATGCCTATAATTCCATTTAATTTATGCATTTTTTTATTGGAATAACGAAGTACCAATTGTACGTTATTTTATTCATGTAATATTTTTTAGGTATTTTTAAAACACAACCCTGTCGAGGGTAAATTTCTGCACAATTATAAAAATGTGTAATGTGAATATCAGAAAAAAATAACTTTCCACCCCATGTTTTAACACAGTATTTTCAGAATTAGGCTATTAAAGAAATCAAAATTTATTCTTCTATATTAAAATAAAGTTTGAACTAGTTTTCCCTTATTTTTAAATCTGTCAACACTTTTGGAATTTTCATAAATACAAATATTTGTTAAAGAGACCATTTTATTTAATCATTCTCAATACGCTCAGCATCATTATTTTAATTGAATACTCTTTTTTTTAATCCAAAATGTGACTTTTAAAAGAAATATATATGTGATGCATTTCGTATAAACGCAGATCTATTTGACAGACTATAGCAGGAAATTATCAACTTTGACCAGCAGAGAGCAACATACAGCCACAGAACTCAGAATCTATTTATCTATCTGTCTGTCTGTCATAAAGTTATGACATAAAACCGTTTATATCTATCACATATATCTATTTTACATATATCTATGTAAAACCTTAACCTTATGCTTAAATACTACATTTTTCACGTTAAAATGGCACAAGGGGCGGCATGACATTCGTCCTAGTGTCTACTGTCTAGTCTATAGTTGAATAACCCCTGGTATAATACGTACTATGTTTCATATTTTGGTTATCATTTGTCATTTACAATGTGTAAACTGTTTTAGAATTTACTTGATGGGTTAATTAGCCTACTTTGAAATTAATAATGCATAAAAAGCCTAGGCAAATTAAAGGCTTGTATGTTTATAAATTTGAAGGGACAAAAATTAATATTTAGGGCGTCTAATCCTTATAAACCTTGCGTTTTGACCTGCAGCTGTATTTTAAACTACCTAATGGAACAGTTTTGTGCTTATGGTGTATTAGCTCAATGGACCAACCAATTATTTCTCATTGACAGTGTCTACCTCGAATTATATGTAGCTTATATCAATGTCATCCTAATTCTAATTGTAAACTACGAAAATGGAAAAAGCGTGACAATGTGCGATTCATTTTTTTAATGAATATATTGAATTTGTTGCACACTGCAAAAAGCGGTCATTGATTTAGGCTAAATACATTAAGTTTAAGTGAAAGTCGGATGTTACTTCGCGGATGTATGACAAAGGGAACCCTGGCCTGCGTCCTCATGGCGTGTGCACCTTTACTGCGTGTGCGGCAGAAAGCCTGTGTGACGTTGAGATGCACCAATCATTCGCGGAGGAGTAGATGGCGTATGGCAGACTCTACTTCCCCAAGAAAGGCACACACGCGAAAAAAATCAAAGGGCGGTGCAAAAGCTGATCCCATCACACAGACGGACCTGCAAAGATCATCCGTCAGAAGCAATCGCAACGTGGTATCCGTCATCAAAGGCGCAGGCGACTCTTGCCGTTGCGGGAGAGAAATCAAGGGGACATGGCCGGGATCTTGGCTTGGTTTTGGAACGAGAGGTTCTGGCTGCCACATAATGTAACCTGGGCTGACTTAAAAAACACAGACGAGGCAACCTTCCCGCAAGCCGAAGATCTCTATCTGGCTTTCCCCTTGGCATTGGGCATCTTCATGATACGCCTGGTTTTCGAGAGGTCAGTGGCTCTGAGCCGCTGTTTTCTTGTTGCGATCGCGTGTTGCGGTACTGTGTTTCACCTGGGGGGGTAAAAATGTGGAGATCGGTAGGGAAAAAAGCATGGAAGTAGCTAGACCTGTGACGTGCTGTCTGAGATTGGACTGCTGATCCACCAATGACATTAAAACGCCACCGATTTAGGCAATGTTATCGTTCGCAGAGGAACGTACACATTTAAGCAGAACTTTCAGTTACTAACATTCGGCAGAAATATGGTGTTTTCTGTGAAGGGTTTATTGATAGTTTTGGGGAATTATGTGCAATCCCATTGATCCAGCTAGCCCATTATTTCCAGTATAGGGGTGCACCAGTCGCTAGGAGGCGGGAGCGTTTTCATTTCGGTGTGGGAATCTTTGTGCACTTCATTTAGAGGATTTTCACTTTAATAATTTGCTAAAGATATAAAGATGTACTTCTGAATGGAATTCAAAGCGTTCGTTTGTTAACGCTGGCGTCCACGGCGTCTGGGTAGCTTTACACAGTACACTTCTTTTTGTTTTCTGATACATGCTGTATATCTGCATCTCCATATTCCCCTTGACTTGCACATTAAAATAACCCCCGTCGCAGGTATAAGGGTTGCGGTGTTAATTGTGCAAGCTTTCCTGTTTTATTGTTTCGTTTCAAACTTTTTTTGTAATCGGCTACCCTCATTGATCGTGCTGTTGCAAAGGCAGTCGGACGACCTGCAAATGCATCCCGTTTGTTTTATTCGTGACTGTGTATCTGCAGCCAGTGTAATCGTACCATTACTTTGATAAGTGTGAGGAAACGGTAAAGTGAGGACTAACAGGTCGATTAAATAACTTAACTAGATTGTTAAGATGGTCTCATTGATAACCGAAAATAATTGCGCAAATTATAGCGTTATCTTAAACGCGTAACTCAAAGTGACGTGAATGTCGTGCTGCTCAAAGTACACGTGACGATGATAATTCCATCTCTTTCGGGGGCAAAATAAAAGTGATGACAGGCTGGCAGCTTCCTGATTCTACATCCTGTACGTTGCATTTTGAGGACTTAATGCATCCCAGATATTTAATCGCGTTATGCATCCCGGTTGTTACTGGGTGGTTAATCAGTGTAAGGCCTGAAAATCTCTCTCAGATAAATATTTTTTCTTTTTCTAATAATGGCCAGAGTATTTTAAAACCGCGTTTCAGATGAAAACCTATCGGCTGGCAGCCGAGACTGATCTAGTTTCCCAGCTCCTCCGATTCTGTATACAGTATGTTTGCAGGTGTGCCGGCGTTAATGAGACATGAAACTTGCTCTTTTCCCTAAAAGTGGCGGGACCCTTAGCTGTCATATATTTTATGGAAGAACTTCTGAGTCAGATAACCTGACATGCAACAAACATATACATGCAAAATATCCATACATATGTGGCATTGTCGGTCACTACAGTCCGTCTGCGCTCAGCAGCTGTTGCTCTCCAGTTGCTTCTGGCACGATTTAATTATGAAGTCAATTCTCAAGGGCTCTCAGAAATAGAAATGGCTGGAGATGACCTCATTACGACCTTTTCAAAAGCCAAATAATTGTTTTTATTTTCAAATATATGTCCAACTTCGGTTTTCATTGCAATTTTACAAGACAGTATTATTTCCTGTTTTCTGTGGTTGTTTTTGGTTTTATATTAATAGTTTATTTTTAAAAACATCAAGCTGTTTGGCTTAGCTAGTTTTAATATGCTAATTTTACTCTTGTTTAACCTTTGCCGTTGTTTTCATTTAAGGTCATGGACTCTGTGAAAGCTACTTTGCGAGAAGTGTAACTGCAGGCCTCCAGAAACAGGTTGCAGTTTTGCTGAGAATGGTCGGCTTTTCTCTGGTAGCTAGTGTAGCTGGGGCAAGCTAAACCGACACACCTTTCCATTCATCCCTGTGATCTGTTATATAACTATAGGCAGACGGCCTTTGGGGTTGTTACGCTCCCCGTTTACGAGGACTAATCAGTACTCCCTTCATTCTGATTTTCAAACAGTAATAATTTCAAGTTAGATATGGCACAGTATGTTTGAGCTTCATTTTCGGAGGGAAAAGCTCACTTTCAGAGAGTTATGTAAATTAAAATCTCTTTGCCAGTGCAGTGTGTGAATATGTCTCATATCATAACGATTGTAAGACAGATTTGTACTATGTATCTGATCCAACATGCCCTGCATGAGAATTCACGAAGAATTCTTGGGGTACTGAGCTCTAGAAAAGTTAGTTCATATTAGTCCCGATTATGTGGTCCTGTTTATGGTGTTCATTGGTGTTAACAGTTTATTTACTCCCTTACATAATAACTACATTTCTTAAGAGGGCACACGCCTAAACTCAAGAAGCATGGTGATGAACACAGCTGTCTTTCTCCTGTTTCCTTGCCAACACTTTCATCCAGATTAACTTTGTAATCAGTTATACCATTGAATAATTTAAAAAGAGCAGTTATGTTTCTCAAGGGTACAACTGAAGTGTCCCTTGGGGATTTGTTATATAAATATAGCTGCAAAGGGTGATGCTTATGCGTTTGTTTTTTTGATCACTTTAATCCGAACCTCTTATTAACAAAATATTATGACTAGACCTGTAATTGAACTGTTTTATATGTCTGATAATTAAGATTCTTAATGCTTCAGACCAGATAAAGCACTTATTGAATATTTAGTTGATTTTGTTTTGATGTAAGGAATGGTGGTAGGCTGTCCAGCTACGGCAGAAGGTGAGGAGCAGGATTTGGATCTCCAGGGCCATGGGACCTTCTTGCTGTTTCACACCCCAGTTTGCGTCTGTTATCTGAGTTTAGATAAATAAGCCCGGGTCTGAGTTGGTGGGCAGCAGGGGTGAGACTGTGGTAAGTGGGAGGGGCTGTCTGCGGCCTCGAAGCTGGGCATGGCGCTGATGCCCGCTACGTCTTTGTGAGCTCAGCTTGGCAGAGTGTGGAGAGAGCGCTGGAGTTTTGATGCTGTTTTTGAACTTAAGCGGCTAAATTTGATAAAACCAAAGGTGCTAATCGATGGTGGCTCTCAGACGTCATCCACTGCATTCACAAACTGAGTATAAAAGTTTCATGTCAACTTAAAAATGTATACTTACATTTTTTCCCTTATTTGTTATTGCTGTTGTTAATTTCTGTCATTATGTATGTTTTTGATGTCTGATTTTATTTGAATCGAAATACGATCTTGCTACATCCATCCATCCATCTTGTAACTGCTTACCCTGGTCAGGATCTTGCAGGGGTTCTGGGGTTACCAGGACACACAGGGTCCTTGGTCTAGTGGTCAAAGTCCAAATTTACCCTCTTATAATACTGTATGCTGTACTGTACAATTTGCTTATAACTGTAGCAACCAAAACCAACATCCAGGATCAGTGGATAGGATTATGACCCCCACAGGATTGAGGGCTTGAGTCCTCTGGTTGTATTGGGTTTGCATGTCAGTTCCCCCCCCCCCCCCCCCACAAACCACAGAGGTCGTCTTTAAGTTTATTGGCATCCCTAACTGCCATCAGTATGTGAGTGTGTGACCTGTGATGGACTGGTGTCCTCTCCCAGACCTTTCCTGGGCTACAGGCTCACTGTGACTGTGAAACAATCCTGGAGAAGATGTCTGAAATGGACTGAATGGAAATATTGGCCCATGTCAGGTTGGATGAGTCGGGTGAGATGCTGTTATTGTAGCTGCCTGTCTGTCGTCTCTGTCAGCGATGGCCGGAGTGTGGCATGTCCCGCGTGCGCTAGGAAGTCCGCTCGGCTACAGAAAACTGGCAGCAAAGTATTCAATCAGTTTGAAAAGGGGCTGTAACATTATGTATATGGCTGCGTCCCAGCAGAGGAGGGTCATCCAAGTCGCTGAAAAGACTCAGCCGCTCTGCTTTTAAGGCAACAGCAAATTATATAGGCTCATATCCAGATTTACTTTAAACTTAATCCAGTTTGATAATGGACGATATGTATCTCTATTTATAATGTGTTATCGACATTACGTTCCCCTTCTAAATAACTGGCATCGTGGCTGTTTCTGGTCAGTTGCCGGTCACGGCCACGGGGCGTTCGATTTACTCCCAAGTGCAAAGGGTGACTTGGGGTCTCCGGTGCCTGGGGCTCCTCTTTGACGCTCCTGAGCCTGACACGCTTCACCTACCTCAGCTCAATCTGCTAGCTAAACTTCTATGATCACTGGTGCCCTACAGGAGGAGTTGTCGTTGTTGTTGTTATTGAATTAGATGCTTATCCGAAGCTGCTTAACACAGAGCTGTTTTTATAAGTTATAAAAATCTTCTTTGCATGTTTACGCAAAATGTTAATTGCTTAATCTTGTAGATTAAATAAATTAGTTCTCTTTTGCTAATGTATTACTCTGAATAATTTAAAGTGATTCATTTTACGATAACTTGGTACAGTGTGTCCTCCGCAGATGTTATTAGCCAACATCATAGTTGGAACAAATGCAGGACCAGATGCATCCAGCCGAAGCAGTTATCGTGCTGTCCGCCAGCAGTTGGGTGCAGCTTTGTTCAATTTCCATTCATAATTTAAGGGTGTTTAAGTAATTATCTCCAGTTAACAGAAAACCACTGTACAGTGGAAAATCATGTAGACAAAGGGGGCCCTGGAATTGGAGATTATCCACTAAAAAGACTCAACACCTGCTCTTTGATTCACTCACATTTCATTGCATTTTCCATGTGTTTGTCTTGTGCAGTGCACTAGTGTGAGAGCAGGGTGACACCAATTGGGATTAAGGCCTTGCTCTAGGGCCCAGTGGTGAAATTGCTCTGTCAGCCATGGGATTTGAACCAGCAACCTTCCAGTCACAGGCACTGAGTTCTAATCACTAGACCCAAACATCACTCGATGTACTATGGTATTCAGTATTACTTACTGTCGGAGAAGTAGCTTTATTCAGCTTGCTGCAGTGCTTATATACAGGGTTTGTTTTATTCCACAGACTTGGACAGCTTTGTCAGTCCCATCACTGATGGTGACAGTCTTTGGGTTTGGATGGAGTTACTGTATGGTGTTTTTGGGCTCGTAGGGTGTTTGCTGATTGGCCAATACCTGTGTCCACCGGCCAGCTCCCCTGCTGCATGGTTGAAAATTACAGGTGGGATGGGGGATTGTAACCTCCCCACAAAACAGAACCTGCTAATACAACGCCGCCAATAGCCATGTTTTCCCCTAAATTGGTGGAGACGCCGTTTCCTTGCTGTTTGCCTTTATGGAGACCTTCATCTTTGGGGAAACTGTAATCAGAATCAGAAAACTTTATTAATCGCGAAGAAAATCGCTTACATTACGACTGCACAACACACAGAACAATACAATGAAGTACAAAGCTAAATTAAATTAAGCACTCTAATAAAAATTCTATAAATACAGTAGGATAAAGTACTATTTTACCTCGTACATAAGTTATTATAAATGTAACTTGACTATATTGCACATGTTAATAATTCAGTAGAAGTTAACCACATTATTGCAAGGACAAGTGATGGAGGGAGTTGTAGAGTCTGTAACAAATTGCACATTTACTTGGTGAATTTCTTATTGGTCAAACGTGTGGGTACCTTAAGTAGAACATGTAAGTAATTAAGGTTTTTTGCTTGTTTGTTTCCTGCAGGTTCATTGCAAAGCCATGTGCCCTGGGTTTGAAGATCCAAGCAAACGGCCCCCAGAAGGCTCAGCCAAATGCTATTCTGGAGAAAGTCTTTACTTCTATTACCAAGGTGAGGGCACTTTTCTGGAAGCATGTTTGTTTTAATGGCGGACGTTAACTACACGTGCACCTTGGTACAAGAATTCTTTTTAAGGTTCTAAAGGTATGAAAAGCAACTGCTGGTTATCGTTAATTGAAACCCAAAGCCTGAGACTCTGGTCATTTTAAGGGCTGAGTGTGAAAGCTTCCCGCATCTGCTGGATTTTATCTGCAGCTCCATGTGCTGATAACACCATGGTTATTTTTAGCCCAAAGGAGAGGCAGGTTTCCTTGACAAACGTCCCTGGGTTTTCATGCGCAAGGGCTCAGCAGACCGTCTGGCTTAGCTTGTCTGGGAAGGTAATGGCCCCAATTGTGTCACAAAGACATATTTCCTTAGCAAGATGCAGAGCTACACTTCACAAACGTAGTCGCATTTTAATAGTAACATAAATTGTGCTTATGAATGTTTTTATCCGCGGTAGAAGACTCGAGACTGGTTCTAATCTATCAAATCTGCAGTTACCCATTTCTGAGGAAGTATAGCCATCAGTTTCACTTAGGCCATTGATGTAATTCAGACAAAAAGGTGTTTTCTTAATCCTCTTCAGCACTTTTAGGTTTTTTTCAGGATATGCATCAGTTGAATATTCTTTTTCAGACTTTACTGCATTATTAACGGCTACCTGAACCTTGGGATTTTGGAGATGGAGTGCAGTGCAGTCAGGTGTCTGGCTCTGTCGGTTATGGTTGTGGCCCCCCCCCAGACCCTAACTGTGACATGGGCCCCCGGGGTGTTTGCGGGGGGTGCGGCCGCAGCCTTTACGATTTCGTACTTTCATGTATGCAAATGTGCGCATTCGCTGATGACGTTGAAAGGTGAGATGTCTGTATCCCACCTTATGTGTCACCCTCACATGGTCAAGTGACACGTCACCAGCCCCTTGTATCACTACAGGGGGCGTATGCAGGGGCGGGGCCACAGGGACCCTGGCCCCAGCTGAAAGCTGATTGGCCCCCTGAGTAGCCCCTGCCCTGTCACTCACTGATTCAAAACATATCATTGGCTAATAAGGTCATCCCCTCTGTGTGAATTATGAGCCCTCTTATGCCCCGCCCCCTTAAATAATCCTCCTGATGTGCCCGGTTACAAGCTCACCTCTCACGTTCTTGCTCAGCACCCAGACGAGAAGCGGTTAGAAGGCCTGTCCAAGCAGCTAGACTGGGATGTGAGGACCATCCAACGTTGGTTCCGGCATCGGCGGAACCAGGAGAAGCCCAGTACGCTGACCCGCTTCTGCGAGAGCATGTAAGACCTTTGTGCCACCCATAGATCTTTGAAGGCTTCTTCCTGTTCAGCTTCCCACTAGCCTTGAGGGACCCGAGTGATTCTTGGTTCAGAGCTCTATAGATTCTTAACTTCAGTGTCATGGACCTCATTAGCTGTATGGTGACACCTACAGACGACTTCTCCCTTTGCTGAGATTTTAATTAGAGGTCAGTGGAAAATAAAGAGGTCAATTTTGTCCCATCCAAGTTCAGGGACCCCCTGATACCTATGGATCCCTTGGGGGGGGGGGGGGGGGCTGCTGTAGGTGACCTGTGAGCTGCAGTGTTTGTTCAAATGCTGCTTCCCTGAATCTTTTATGACCTTTTATGGCCAGTGATATGTCTTTTTTTCATATTCTTGTTTCGTGTGTGTTTCCTCTTTCCACATTAGCCCTGTTTGCAGTCCCTGTCACACATACTTTCAGCTACAAAGACTAATGGAAAGTTTTACGGATACCGAATTGAGATTTTCTCGGTTCGTTTCACCACGTTTCATTCCGTGTGCGTGTCAGTACAGTGTCAGGGGTCTTTCGCTCTTGGTCTGTTTTCCATTTGGTCGTTCATCTAAAGACTTTTTGACTTTTAGATACTCAGAGGGCACCTTTAAAAAAAAAAAAAAAAAAAAAAAGGTTGAGATTTCTGGCTTTTGTTGTATGCCAGAATGTTCTATTGGTCCTCTTTTAGGTGACTTCCTGTTTCCACTTTTAACCGTTTTGCAGCACAGTGTATTTTGTATATTTATTTATTTATTTGCCTGGCAGAACTTTCTACTTCCTGTCATGTGACCTGGAGATGGTCAGGGGGCAGGTCTGGCCTTCATGCCTCAAGACTGGTTGCCACACCTGTCGTCCCTTGAGGCTTCATAGCGATACTGAAATTGACATTCTGAAAATTCCTGCAGAACGTAATACACGCAGGTGTCTACTAAAATTTCCACTGCAGGTTAAGGCAGTGTGTATGTGATCAAAAGGTTGCTAGTTCAAATCCCAGGGTGAGCAGAGTGATTTCACCATCGGGCCCTTGAGCAAGGCCCAGTTGTCTCATGGACTGTCTGACCCTGCTTTCTGCATAGCCTTAGATAAAAGCATCTGATAAATAGTTGTAAGGCCAGGCAGTAACTTTAAACGTTTACTGTAAGGCAGCTTACTTTAAAGTGCCCTGAGATTGATATTGCCAGTTTATTGACATGTGGGAAGGGAGACAGAGAGGGGTGAGTTTGATGTGAGGGCTGCCCCCTAGTGCTCCCCTGTGGTGGCTGCGGGTGTCCGTGCAGGCAGGGAACCAATGGAAAGGGGCATACGAGTTTATTTGCATGACGGGGAGAATGCAGAACATACTGCTGTGAATTCCCGGGCGACTTACGTAAGTCTGGGCTTGGCGTGACTGGGTCCTTGTGGCTGAAACCTGTGCTGGCCTGTTACTGTAACGCCACCATATTCCTGC